TTCCTTCCTTCCTTCCTTCCTTCCTTCCTTCCTTCCTTCCTTCCTTCCTTCCTTCCTTTCTTCCTCCCTTCCTCTTTCTTTCTTTCTTTCTTTCTTTCTTTCTTTCTTTCTTTCTTTCTTTCTTTCTTTCTTTCTTTCTTTCTCTCTTTCTTCCTTTCTCTCTCATCCTCCCTCCCTTTTTTCTTTCTCTTCCTCCCTTCTTCTTCTTTCTTTCTTTCTCTTTCTCCCTCCTTTTTTCTTTCTGTTCCTTCCTTCTTTCCCTCTTTCATTCTTTCTTTCTTCCTTTCTCTCTCTTCCTCCCTTCTTTTTTCTTTCTCTTCCTTCCTTCCTCCTTTCCCTCTTTTTTTCTTCCTTTCTGTCTTTCTCCCTTCTTTTTCTTTCTCTTCCTTCCTCTTCCTATCTTCCTTCCTCTTTCTTTTTCTCTCTCTTTTTCTTTCTTTCTTGTTCTTTCTCTTTCCTTCCTTCCTCCTTTCCCTCTTTCTTTCTTTCTTTCTTTCTTTCCTTTTCTTTTTCTTTTCTTCCTTCCTTTCTCTCTTTCTTTCTCCCTGCCTCCCTCCTTCTTTCTTTCTTTTTCTTTCTCTCCTTCCTTCCTTCCTTCCTTCCTTCCTTCCTTCCTTCCTTCCTTCCTTCCTTCCTTCCTTCCTTCCTCCCTTCCTTCCTTGCTTCCTTCCTTCCTGCCTGCCTGCCTGCCTGCCTGCCTGCCTGCCTTCCTTCCCTTCCTTCCTTCTTTCCTTCCTTCCTTCCTTCCTTTTTCCTTTCCCTCTTTCTTTCTTTTATTTTCTTTTTCTCTTTTCTTCCTTCATTCTTTTCTCTCCCTCCCTCCCTCCCTCCCTCCCTCCCTCTCTCTCTCCCTCTCCCTCCCTCCCTCCTTCCCTCCCTCCCTCTCTCTCTCTTTCTCTCCAGGCTGTAACTGGCTGTCGGCTGGCACAAATCCTAACCCACTATTGCGTCTGTGCAAACTACTTTTGGCTACTAGTAGAAGGCCTCTACCTGCACAACCTTCTCGGACCCATGGCCTTCTTGGAAGAAAGCTACCTCCCTGCCTACCTACTCCTAGGATGGGGTGAGTCACTTAGTTGGTGTAACATTTCAGAAGGAAACTGAAGTGAAATTTTTAATTGGTGTTATTTATTGGTCTTCCTACCCTGAGGTTTAATATGCCGGCCTACCCAGAAGTGGTGGGCAATTAGCAATTAAATTGGAAGCATGTCATGATATTAAACAATCCTGGCTATAGGAACCTTCTATGGATAGTCCTTGACTTATGACCTCAATTGGGCCGAGAATTTGGGGAGTTGAAGTTTACAGATCTTAAAGTTGCCAAGCTGGGACACCCCCTCTGTCTTAGGCATTTTTATGGAAGGAGAGTTATAAAAAGTCATCTTATCCCAGATGATAAAGTTATAAACAGTCTTATCTTACCCCGGAGACGATGGAAGTCAATAGTTCTACCTGTAAGACAGGTGCAAGCTGTAGCTACCTGGATTTCATTACAATCGAAGGAAGAACATCCTGACCTGTGAACATTTTCTCTCTCTCTAGGGACACCTCTCCTTTTTGTCATCCCGTGGGGGATCATGAGATACCTCGATGAAAACAATGAGTAAGTTTAGCTGGAATAAACCTTCCGTTGCATCTTATTAAAAAAAAAATTAATGCGAACTACAAATAGACGAATATAAATAAATATCCACGATTAGGATGATGCATCAATCCAGAACGGACAGGAAAAAAGTAACTTGGAGCATGCAAGTTACAGAGAACTTTTCAGTCATGCTTTAAACCAGGGGAGGTCCAGCTTTGGCCACTTTAAAATTTGGGAGTTGTCCACGAATCTTAAAGTCACTAAACCAGAGGTCTCCAAACTTGGCAACTTTAAGACTTGTGGACTTCAACTCCCAGAATGCTCTGCTGGCTGGAGAATTCTGGGAGTTGAAGTCTACAAGTCTTAAAGTTGACAAGTTTGGGGACCCCAGCACTAAATGAATGTTAGTCAGTCAAGCACTACCTTGTATTTTCAATTTGGGAACCAATCCTGTTCAACCCAGCAGATTTATTACGGTTAAAAACCCACAGGTTCACTCAGTGAGTCAGTGACCTGTTAGGGCCAGTTAATTAATGACTCGATTTAATCTGCTTAAATGCACATCCCAGAATAACCAATTGTTCTAAAGGGGAGAGGGAGGAAGGAGCCGCGTTTTATTTTTAGCTTCGCCGTGTGTGGTTTTCACGGAACAAAGTGCCTCTTTTGAATTGCCAAATTAAAGATTTCTCAGTAGACTTATTGCTGCCTGGAAGTTCCTTCATTTTAAGTCCTGCCAGGTTTACTAAAAATATCCCATTTACAAAGAAAAAAGAAAAAAAAGAAAGCAGATTATTCCCGTAACATAAATAGCCTTCTTCCTTCTAAATTGTGGAGTTGTTATTGTTATTGTTAATTTTTAGGTGCTGGGAGAGAAATGAGAACCTGGGCTACTGGTGGATCATCCGTTGCCCAATTTTGGTATCAATTTTGGTAAGTCCCAAAAGAGCAAAAAGCTCTTGCGTTTTCTTGCAAGACCAGTTCCATCCTGACTGGTAAGATTTTAATACCGGTAGTCCTTGACTTACAACAGTTCCAGTGGTGGGATTCAAAATTGTTTATGACTGGTTCTGTGGGCATAGCTTGTTGGGTGTGGCTTGTTGGGTGTGGCTTGTTGGGTGTGGCTTGTCACCCTTGACCCTGATTTCCCACCCCTACCCCCTGGGTGTATCGTAATTCATATTCTCCAATGGGACACATCCATAGCCAAGAGTCATCAATCATGCTCTCCAGTTAGAATTTTGTGCGGCAGAAACCTCAGTCACCTAGTTACTATCTTTGAAAAACTATTTTTGGAATGCACTTTCAATTTCCAAGCTGCCGCACTGCTCCCCCTTCCCTTTCTGTTGGCAACTCTAAAAAGAACATAGAAATATTTTATGAGTTGACATTTGGCTCCCCTCACTTTTTAAAGGTGACCTTGTGTACAACACACACAAAAAAACAATTTATTGCAGGGTTGCGAATACCACACACACACACACACACACACACCCCGCAGGCTTGGTTGGGTTTTCTGCATGGAACCTTGTCACAAGGTGATCACTGAACAACTGTCTCGCTTAACAACAGACATGTTGGGCTCCATTGCAATCGTAAGTCGAGGACACCAGTACAAACTGCCAAGAAAACCTGAGCTGGTTTTCTGCATGATAAGTAGGTGACAGGTGACAGGAGTAGGCTTAGCAGGAAGGCAAGCACTAAAAACACATTCCTAGATTTATTATACCTGTATATTGCTTTGTTTTCTGCATTCTTGCTTTTTTTACTAGGTTTTGAAATGAGCCTTTTAAATTCTTGTTTCTACCTGTATGCTTTTCCTTGGGAAAAAACAGAGATGTGGAATTGAGGCTCCTCCCAAGTCAAAAAAAAAATATATATCTTCAACTTCCTTTTCCATCCAGATTTCTGGGGGCTGAAATATAAATGGGATAAATATAAATTTTGTGCCATCTGTCAGAAACCATGTAAAACAGAATTTATTTATCTTAGAAACTTTCAGTTGCTGGCTGGGGGATGCTGGGAGCTGAAGTCCACAATTTTAAAGTTGCTGGCTGGGGGATTCTGGGAATTGAAGTCCACACATCTCCAAATTGCCAAGTTCAGATACACTGGTTTAGAAAAAGCAAAAGTCCAGATGTGATGGGTGCCCATAGAATGGAGCTACGTTTTGGGAGGGTTTTTTTTTAACTATGCCCTGCAACGTTTATAGTAGTTTCTTTTAACATATCATGGGTGCATCTGTCGAAGTGCTCTAGAGTCTACTGGATGAACGCAGCAAAACTGGGATTTGTGAAGATCCAAATTATTTTTTTTCCCACCCTAGGTTAACTTCGTGATTTTCATCCGGGTGCTTAAGATCGTGAACTCCAAGCTTCGGGCCCAGCAAATCCATTACACGGATTATAAGTGTAGGTGAGGAATTAACTTCCGGATAAGACGGAGCCATGATGGGGTGGGAAGGCCAGAAGAATTTTTATTTATGTATGTATTTATTCCCTGCTTTTATCATTTTTAAAAGCAAAGTGGCAGGCGTGCCTAATATACCCTCCAACCTCCTTTTATCCCTCCAACAACAACCCTGTGAGGTGGGTGGGGCTGAGAGAGAGAGAGGGACTGGACCAAAGTCACCCAGTCGGTTTTCATGCCCAAGGTGGAGCTAGAACTCACCCCCTCCTGGTTTTTAGCCTTGTACCTTCACCAGAAGGCCAAGCTGGATCCCATCCCTGGGTTTGGCTTTGGGTGTGAATAGAATAGAGTAGAGTAGAGTAGAATAAAGTAGAAGCGAAGAGAATAAAGTAGAATAGAAGAATAGAATAGAATAGAATAGAATAGAATAGAATAGAGAAAAACAGAATAGAATAAAGTAGAGAAGAATAGAATAGAATAGAATAGAATAGAATAGAATAGAATAGAATAGAATATAGTAGAATAGAAGAACAGAATAGAACAGAATAGAATAGAATAGAATAAAGTAGAGAAGAATAGAATAGAATAAAATAGAGAAGAATAGAGAATAGAATAGAATAGAATAGAATAGAGAAGAATAAAATAGAATAGAATAGAATAGAATAGAATAGAATAGAATAACAAGAGTTAGAAGGGACCTTGAAGATCTTCTAGTCCAACCCCGTTTAGGCAGGCAACCCTACACCACTTCAGACAAATGGTTATCCAACATCTTTTTAAAACCTTCCAGTGTTGGAGCATTTACAACTTCTGGAGGCCAGTTGTTCCACTGGTTAATTGTTCTCACTGTCAGGAAATTCCTCCATATTTCTAAGTTGCTTCTCTCCTTGTTTAGTTTCCATCCATTGCTTCTCGTCCTGCCTCCTTTGGTGCTTTGGAGAATAGCTTGACTCCCTCTTCTTTGGGGCAGCCCCTCAAATATTGGAATCCTGCTATCATGTCCCCCCTAGGCCTTCTTTTCATTATACAACACAGTGCGTGTGTGAATGTTGTCTACAGTCCCTTTTGCAGTCAGACGACAAATGCTTAAAACGCAGCACCCACGTTTCCCAGCCGGAACGACAGGTGAGCTACGCTAAGGCCTCTCTCCTTCTCCATGCTCAGGTTGGCCAGGTCGACTCTGACCCTCATCCCTCTGCTTGGCACCCACGGGGTGGCCTTCGCCCTGGTGACAGAGGAGCAGGCCCTGGGCCCCCTGCGCTACGTCAAATTCTTCTTTGAGCTCTTCTTCAACTCCTTCCAGGTGAGGCGCCAATTTGGGAAGCAGCCATAGAATTGGTCGGATTCATGACAGGTAGCCCTCGACCCACGACCGCAGTCGAGCCACACTAAGCTTCTGTCGCTAAGCGAGACATCGGTGGAATGAGTTTTTCCCCGTTTTACGGCCTCTCTTGCCGCAGCTGTTAAGTGAAATCACGGCAGTCGTTCGGCTAGAAAAAAAGGGATTCATTAAGTGAATCTGGCTGCCCCTTTGACTTCGCTTGTGATCGTGTAATACTGCAATGGTCATAAGGAGGAGCCGGTCGCCGAGCTCTGAATTTTGATCATGTGACCAACAGTCGTAAGTGTGGGAAAAGATCCTAAGTCACTTTTCCCAGTGCTGTTGTAAGTTCGAACAGTCATTAAATGAATGGCTGTAAGTCAAGGACTACTTGTCATTAGATTTATACAGCTCTGTAATTAGAATTACAGCAAGCACAAGGAAAACCCAAATGGTGTTTTTTTTTTAAAGGGTAAACTCTCCAGAACCGGGCAACCTCTAAATTTAAAAAAAGAAAACCAACCCAATTTATCACAGCTGGTGCGGCTTTTCTTCCCCAAAGGGGCCTGAAATTGCTTAAAACCAGCCAAATAATTCCATTTTTTTTTCTTCTTTGTTCATTTTCAGGGTTTGTTGGTGAGCACGCTTTACTGCTTTGTCAATAAAGAGGTAGGTCATTTTCCAGCTGACCCTTTTTGCAATGCAGGCATAAGGCTGAGGCCTGGCTGCTCAGGGGTCTCAGAGGGCTGGCGGGGGGAGGCTTAAAGAATCCCCGAATTGGGCAGGTCTCCCTCGAGGTCATCCAATCCAACCCCACGTCACTTCTGGAACTCGAAGGAAACCAGTCGTCTGTTTATCAGAAACAAGTGGAAATCTTTTGTTTCTCTTCCTTCTCCAGGTCCAGTCCGAGATCCAGAGAAACTGGCGGATGTGCCAGGTGAACATCGGCGTGCTGGAGAGACCGGGATGCCATTTTGGACCCTGCCGTTCCTGGTGTAACCGAAAAAGCCCGACCAGGAAGCCCAGCTGTGCTCAGATTTACATCCAAGTAGAACCCAATGTTGCCCCGAGAGACTTGGACAATGGGGTGGGCACTCCGTTCCAGCAGGCGCCCGCAAACTACAACTCCCATTGGTATATCCCCGTCAAGATGAAAGCGGAGAATTAGCACAGCGACCGTGTCTTCAAGACCAGGGCTGAGACCAGCTCCCTTTCAGCAGTGGTGGGATTCAAAAAAATTTACTACCAGTTCTGTTGGCGTGGAGTGGCATGGCGTGCGTATTGTGGCTTGGCGTGTGTGGCAGGGGAAGGCTACTGCAAAATCCCCCTTCCCTCCCCACCCCACTAACCTGCTTTCCAGCTCCGTTCTCCTGTGCAGGGCAACCAAAGGAGACCCAGCCGATCAGCTGCGACTCGATGGGAGGCAGAGAATAGATGGGGTTGGTGGGGCCAGTCAGAGGTGGCATTTGCCGGTTCTCCGAACTACTCAAAATTTCCACTACCGGTTCTCCAGAACTGGTCCGAACCTGCTGAATACCCACCTCTGCCTTCCAGATGTGGGGAAATTCTGCCCGCCATACCAAAAATGAAGAGATCTTCAGACAAGACAAGAAGCCAATGCAGCTGTGAACATCTGGAGGAACAGGGGAAGAAAATTGTCCCTTTCCTGCAGGCAGAAAAAAAGTTACCATGAAAACTTTGCAAAACTACAAGAGGGTAGATTTTACTTTGCCTTTTGGGGGGGTTTACTAAGGCAGCAGGCGAGACTTACACCCAGCTGTTGTGACAGACACAATCTGGAACAATGGGTCGGAACTTTTGTGATCTTGAGATCTCACGATGACTTTACGCAAACACCATATTTTGTTTGGGGCGACAGCATAGAAACGGTTTTCCAGTGCCTGCGTTCTGAGATTTCACCTTCCCATCCCATTGTCACTCTGGACTGAAATCAGAATCCAAGATGGGGCAGGACCTGAATGACAAAAGCTCTTGGATCTGCTGCTAATGTCAAAATCCCTCTGGATTAAAACTGCTGAGATCAAGAGGAGTTACGGGAATTATTTTGTTGACCTCAACTGGTGCAGATTTAAACTGTGGTGCCCAAACCCCCAGGGCTGATGCAATCTGCTAAAATAAGATATCTCATCCAACCTTCAGATTTCTGGATACAGGAATATATTGAAGGGTTCCTTGAATTAACTGTAGAACCAATGGACACATTTTCACTGGGATTTCCAGGTTACTTGAAGACATAAGAAGTTTGGGACTTCTTACGATGTAGTTTTCTTGCAAGTTAATCTCTTCCTGGTGCAATATTTTATTTATTGTTGTGAATTAAAAATGGTGGTCTCTGCAGCTTTTGTGGGCACAGTGCAATTATTGCCTAGATAACTCAATTGGAGATCCTGTGTTTACCTGGATTGGAGTGGATTTGGGGTAGGTGATGGCTGGGGAATTCTGGGAGCTGAAGTCCATTGCTCTAAAGTTTACCAATTATTATAAGTGTTTTGGAACCTTTACCCAATTAAGTTACATTCAGAGTTACTTAAAAGGGGCTTAGTTTTAATGCAAACCAAAGAGTCAATGCCAGAAACAGAATCAATAAGGATATTTGCTTGTTGACCATAATAAATTTTGGTCAACATTTGGTCAACATTATATAAAATGTTGGTCAATCAACGAGAATTGGATAAAATTTTACAGAGGCCAGAGAGAAAAATGATTGCCAAAATGTACAAGTATTTGTTCAGATATAAATTGGAAGAAGAAATTGTGAAGGAAACAATGATAACCTGGGCCAAAAATTTTGGATATAGTATTAATTTGGAAGATTGGGAAAAATCTATGGAAAATAAATTATAAATTAACTCTGTCAGCAACTTATATAAAACATTTTATTGCTGGCAGTTACCACCAGCGAGACTTGCAAAAATGTTTCCCAATAATTCGGCAAGCTGTTAGAAATGTGGCTATGAGCAGGGAACCAACTGTCGTATGTGGTGGACCTGCCCCAAAGCAAAAAAATATTGGTGGAAAATTAGAAATTGGCTAGAAGAAATTCCAAATGTTAAAATTGAATTGAAACCAGAGATATATGTTTATTAGGAATTTTAAAGCAAAAAATTAGTAAAAAAATATTATATATTATACTCCATATATTAACAGCAGCAATGCTTACCTTTGCACAAAATGGGAAATGCGAAAATACTGCCCCCGACTTTATGATTATAAAGGAAAATTTGGAATGCGCAGAAATGGATAGGTTGTCAATGGAACTTAAAAACAAAGAGGAGTTAGAGTACTATGAGGTTTGGAATTTATGGTACAGTTGGTTGGAAGGTAGACATGAAATGAACAAAAGAAAGTCAAATAAGAAGTTATGATGGAAATTAGTAATATCACATGCAATCAGATATACATTTGTAATATATAACTAGATGAAACTTTGTGTTATATATTAATGTAATAAGTGTGAATGGTTATTTTACATAATTTGAGAGATATCAGATTGAGCGAACACTGCCTTGCTCACATTGTGATAAGCAGAAGGTTTGGTTTTATTGTATTTATATAAAGTTGCTTAATAAAGTATTTTTCTCATTAAAAGTAAAATAAAATGTCGGTCAACTTGGTCAGATGCTTAATCTGAGGTTTAGGTTCACCTATCCCAGTAGGATCAGTTGATTTATCACCCACAGTCATTTATAAATCCCAGTTATTATGGCAGGTAGAACGGAGATTTTTGAATAACAGAGTAACAGAGTTGGAAGGGATCCTGGAGGTCTTCTAGTCTAGTGAATCTAGTCCAACTTCTGGTGGCAAGACATCCCACTGATTAATTGTTCTCCATGTCAGGAAATTCCTCCTTAGTTCTAGGTTGCTTCTCTCCTTGATTAGTTTCCGTCCATTGCTTCTTGTCCTGCCCTCAGGGGCTTTGGAGAATAGCTTGACTCCCCTCTTCTCTGTGGCAGCCCCTCAAATAATCTTTTATTTCAAAATAAAATTTCCTGAGGAAAGATACTAGATCCCCCCCCCCACCAAAAAAATATCAGACTTTGAATAAGACTAGCTGTCAAGTCATAAAAAATTTCAGTGCCCATTTTATGGTTGCCAACAAAAAGAAAGAACAGTGCAACCGTTAGGAAACAAAAGTGCATTCCATTCATATCTTGCAGAGATTGTAACTAGGCGACTGAAGTTTCTGCTGCAGCAAATCTCTAATTGGAGAACATGATTGATGACTCTTGGCTATGGACGTGTTTCATTGGAGAATATGAATTATGATACACCCAGAGGGGTGGGGGTGGGGAAACCAGGGTCAAGGATGACAGTGAATTACGTGTCTCAGAATCGGGAGGTCATACAGGTCATGTTATCGCACAGGTCATACAGGTCATGTTAGCTCCTAATAAATCCTCTGGAGTTTTTGAAGCTTGGCTCCAAGCTCATGATTTACAGTAATTAGGGCCACTGCTGGAATCCTGACACTAGCTAGTGGGGAAAAAAATGTTTCCAGATTCCTGATTTTTTTAAAAAAAATCATGGTAGGTAGACTAACACGGATCTCCTCCGACAATGACTCGATACCAAACTAACCCAACATTTAAGAAACAAGGTTCTAAGTGTACAAAGGTAAGATAATAAGCTTATGACTAACTCCAAAGACAATGCTAGTTAAGAACAACAAAGGACATAATAAAATGAGCTCTTTGTTTGGCAAGATCTGGAGATTGGCACAATCAGGACTCTGGGACCGTAGATGCCATCATTCGAGACAGTTCAAAGGTTCCATGATTTCAGCCAGATTAATCACTCATCAAGAGACCATAGGTGTATCTGCATTCTTCGGAAAGGACTTTGGAAGAGGAACAAGAGATAAGAAAGGCAGGAAACAAAAGTCAATTTTTTCAAAGTACAGGCTGAACGGGAGTGTCCTCTTCCTCTTTTCTTTTTTTCAGCCTTCCTTTTATGAAGGAGCAGACCGCCACAGAAGACAAATTTAAAAAATCAGAAAGTATTACACAAAATAACCCATGCTGTCAGGATTCCAGCAATTGCCCTAATTGAATAATGATTCTCGAGCCACAATTCAAAAAACTTCAAAGGATTTACTAGATACAACAGTGGTGGGACTCACCTCCGGGGGGAGGGATGAGTCTGCCTAGCGAGATGAGGTGGACCGGTTGCTTTCGTGGTGTGGAGACAATAACTTGGTCCTCAACACCAATAAGACCAAGGAGCTGATAGTGGACTATAGAAGGAGCAGATCAGGCCTCCAGCCCTTGCTTCTCAATGGAGACTGAGTGGAGCAAGTGGCCAATTTTAAGTTTCTGGGTGTTATCCTAAAAGAGGACCTGACCTGGGGTGCCCACATTGCAGCCCTGGTCAAAAGGGCCCAGCAGAGATTAGACTACCTGAGGTTTCTCAGAAAACGACAACTGGATGAAAAACTGCTGGTGACCTTCTACCGCTGCACCATAGAGAATATTTTAACTTACTACACATCTGTGTAGGGTTTGCCACTTGCACAGGGGCAGATAGGACAGCACTCCAGAGGGTGAAGGTCATTGCCCAGAGGATCCTGGGTTGCCCTCTCCCCTCTTTGGAAGAGCTTTATAGCTCCCGCTGCCTTAAGAAAGTTCAAAACATTCTCAAAGATCCATCTCATCCTGGGCTCCATTTTTTTTTGAACTATTACCATCTGGTAGACGGTACAGGACAATAATAAAAACAAGGACAAATAGTCTGAAAAACAGCTTCTATCCCAGGGCAGTAACTCTATTGAATTCTACTGTATAGTGTAATATTAATGCAATATCAGGGGTTTTCAATTCAATGTACAGAATGCGAGGCAGGTATGTTTGTGTTTTATTTTTATAGTTACAATGTGCGCTGAATATGACATTTAATTTCGTTGTACGATGTGCAATGACAATAAAGTTAACTAACAACTAGAGGTGACATCCTGGCCCTGCCCTGTATGGAGCCAACTCTGGCATATGTAATTTGTAGTCCCCTGTGACCCTGTTTCCCCCCCTCCCCCCTGGGTATGTCATAAATCAGATTCTCCAACTGAGCACCTTCACGGTCTGGGTGTCCTCATTCATGTTCTCCCATTAAATATATTGGTGGGCAAAAACTCTGGTATTTCAGTTATAATCTTTT